CCGGAAGAAACCAGAGAGAAGTTCTCTCTGGTTTCTTCCGTATTCTTTTTTTTTTTTAATACTTTTTAATCATTAATATTATTTGATTTTAAAAAATAAATTTTATTATAATTTTTTTTATTTTAAATAAAATAATTAATTATATAAAATGATTAATTATACAATTCTATCTCATTTTTCGAAAATGAACCAAACACACAAAGACTGTTTTCTGCCGTGCTGCCAAACACAAGAGAGGAAAATGTTTTCCGGAAAATGACTCATTTTCCAGAAGTCATTTTCCTGCTTTCCAAACGGACCCTTAGAGACAAGCTACAGGTTACTAATATACACTGTGCTTGAGGGGGAGTATTAGGACTCTATGTATTTGAGTCTGTTTAAAACTTCTTATCCTTGTCACTCTGTGACTCTCTATTGTATATATTCATATCATCTTATCTCTTTGTATTTAATGAATGCACATAGATACAAGATCAGTGAATGAATCAACGGTACCAGTCCTTTAGGTGTTTTACTCAGTGTTCATTTAGTTCAACCATTATTGTTGAATAAATTATTATGGATAAAGAAATTCATAATTTAAGGAATTTAGATGTAGTAAAAATTTAATTTTTTTAATTATAATGTAACCCAAAGATATTGGACGATTGGTAAATATGATGTAACTCAAAGATCAAAATGCTAAAGAAAGTGTTTGGTTATTCAACAGTTTGAAGCAACAATTTGTTCTAAACCACTGAAAATACAAACATTGCAATTTACAATATTTTCACTTAGCGTTTTTTAGAATGATTTCTCCAAGACACCTATATATATATATATATATATATATATATATATATATATATATATATATATATATATATATATATATATATATATATATATATATATTAAAGTTTACTATAGAGCCATTTCGACTCCTTGAATAATAAGAGCCAGTTTCGCTGGCTCACTGTTTGCTATCAACGGATGGACAAACTTAATTTTTAAATTGGAGCCAAAGGAGTCTCAAAACTCCCATACCACTTTTCCCACCGATGTGGGAAAAGTGATCGGTGAGAAAAGTGGCAACTGATGTGGGAAAAATGGCAAAACTAAGGGGCGACGAATGTTCGACTCCCCATATGTTTTATTTGTTTTAATTTCTTTTATTAAATTATTATTATTATTATTTTTAAAACAATTATTATTATTATTATTATTATTATTATTAAATATATGTATACCCTTAGGTCATTTTACATGTTAATCTAAATAGCTATTTTTTTCAAATATCTTTTTACCAACCGTTGATATAATTCGCTGATCAAATCCGCTAAAGTTAACCGCTAAATGCTGATTGTCAAACAAGGACATTGCGGGGTAGTTTCTCGCTTCAATTTGTTTTGTGATTTGAATACTCTCTTTGTCAACAAATCCCTCAAGTAGTTAATATGATTGGCTTTATTATTATTTTTTTATGTTATTAATAAAATACTTGGTAAATAAATATATAGCATTATTTTGTCTTATAACTTTGCTATTTAATTAAAAAATAGTGCAAAAAAAAGGTAATAGACAATGTAGTGAATATTATCAATTGATGAATTTGAATGTAAAGAATATTTTTTACATTGAAAAAAAATAAAGAAAATATAACTAATGAAATTATTTCTCTTAATTAATTTATTGATAATGAATAACTTTTTTTAATAAAGATATTGTAGGGACAATGTAGCGAATATAATCAATTGATGAATTTGAATGTAAAGAATTTTTATAATGAAGAAAAATAAAGACAATATAACTAATGAAATTATTTATCTTATTTAATTTATTGATAATGAATAAATTATTTTTGAATAAAGGCATTTGTAAACACATAATTCTAAATTAAAGAAATGCATATGTATTATTTTTTGTTGTAGCTACTAAATTATTATTTAATTTAATAAGAGTAAAATAGAGTACTAATTATGCCAATTTTGATTGGGATGAGTTTTGAACTTAAGACATTTCTTATTGAAATCAATGAGTAAGTTAACGGTGAACTAACAGAAATTAATGGAAAAGATAATATTTAACGGGATGGATAATCATATTCATTAAGGATAAATTAGGAAATTTCAAAGAAAAATTAAAATTTGATCAATCATTCTTTTGAGCCATTCATTTGATTAAAAAATTTGACCGTCATTTTTTATACTCATTATATGCCTAACTCTCTTTGGCTCTTATTAATTAGTATTAGTCTTAGTATAGTAGAAATCAATGAGTAAGTTAACGGTGAACTAACAAAAATTAACGGGAAAGATAATATTTAATGGGAAAGTTAATGGATAATCATATTCATTAAGGATTAATTAGGAAATTTCAAAGACAAATTAAAATTTGATCAATCTGAGCCATTCATTTGATTAAAAAAATTTGACCGTAATCTTTTTTTTTTTTTTTTTTACACATTATAGGTCTAACTCTCTTTAGCTCTTATTAGTATATATTTTTATCCATTACAGGTCTAACTCTCTTTGGCTCTTATTAGTATATATATATATATATATATATATATATATATATATATATATATATATATATATATATATATATATATATATATACACACACACACACACACACACTAGTATTTTCTATGCGCAAAAAGTAGGTACCTAATATTAGTACTATATATTAAAATTTTAGATTTTTAATATTTATAGCATAATTAATACAAGGGAAAATGGCACTTTTTCTCCCTATGTTATATACTTATAGCACTTTTTCCCCCTCAATTATTTATGTAAGCACATTAGCCCCCTCAATTATTTTAAAAGTGGTGGTTTTCTCCCCTAATATATTAAATTGACATTTCTACCCTTAAAGTAAACATTTTATTTATTTTACTTCTCCAACAAATTATTGCGTATATGTAGCGATTACCACGGTTCGGTTCGAACTGAACCAGACACTATAGCAATCGAATTAAAAGTTTTCAGTTATGATTCAGATCTAGAACCCAATATTTGGATTTCAATTTATTAAATTTAAGAATAAAAAAAAAACTGGATCATGAACCGACGGTTCCGGATCCCGTTCGCGATTTTGAACCGTCTTTATTTTAAAATTTTATTTTTTATTTTAAAATAGTTTAAATTCAACAATAAATGTATTTTATTTTTTCAGTTTGGAACATGAACCGCCCATTCCAGTTCGTGATTTTAATAAACTCTAAATATCGCGTTTTGATTATAAATTGTAATTGGAATATTTTGATTTGGTTACTATAGTATCTGGTTTGAACCAAATTATAGTAATAATTTATTGGAGAATAAAAATAAATGAAATATTTATTTTAAGGGTAAATATGTCCATTTAACATTTCAGGGGGAAAAAGAGCCACTTAAATAATTGAGGGGGAAAAAGTGCTATAAGTATATAACATAGGGGGAAAAAGTGTCATTTTCCCTTAATACAAACCTAACAAAAAAATAGACATAAATAAATGATATAATCTTCATTTACCGTTATTAATTTTTAGACGTGTGTGTGTGAAGACTATGATTGAGAAATAAATAATTAGTAAGTTAATAAATAATGAATAATAAATATTCTTTGATAACTAAGTAAGTAATTTTTTTTTGAAATAAATTAAGTTATTAATATTTTCCTTTGATGACCATTTCATCATAATTTAATATTATCTTTTGGCCTTAAAAGTAAGAAATTAACAAACTTACCAACAATGGAAATCATAAGCTCAGAATTTGAATACATTAGGGCTGCCGCGAACTTCAAATAAATTAAAGAATCTGAATATATGTACGGCGCGCCATGACCTAACGGCAACAAATAATTAATTTGGAAGCATTATATTGTTTTCTAAACCAAATTAGAAATCCAGCTTAGTTTCCTTAATTTGTTTCCTACTCCTATTGTTTTCTTAATCCTATTCCCAGGTATATTGTTATATATAGTGTTTCTTATTCCTATTCCCAGGTATATTATCTATATAATTGTCTTCAATATAATATAAATCGTCATGCATATATATATCTTTTCCAGCGCAGTGCTTTTAGCATTCTTGTCTCTAATGGCATTGGCAAACAAAATGTTTGGTGAACAGGGAGGAGGCTGCAGAAGGAAGAGGAGGAGAACCGCCTCCGTTAAAATAACAAATAATGTTGTTTCGTTATCTTCTATTCATTCTCTTCCACAAGAATTGATGGTCGAGATTCTTGCAACACTGGCTACCCATTCATGGGATGATCTCCTTAATGCCAGATTAAGGTACACACACACACACACACACACATATATATATATATATATATATATATATATATATATATATATATATATATATATATATATATATTCATAATTTTGTTTTCTTGAATTATATATATATTTCAAGTAATTTGATCTCATCTCTCGTTTTACGTCCGTACAGCTGTAGGAGATGGAAAGAATTGGGCGGTGAAGAGTTCATGTATAAACATATATCACTTGCCAAGCTCCCCATCGTCCAGTGGAAACCAGAAGTTGAAGAAGACAGAAGGAAAAGATATTTGTTCTTCGACAAGTGTATAGATGCTGGAAATTTAGAAGCACTATATAGGAAGGGACTGGTAAGTATACATACATTACCGTACCTACTTTATTACACACATCATATTATTGTATGGTATGTTTGGTTGCACCGACTGAATTGGATTGTTGATTTTACAACAATGTAACTTCGATTGACTTTTTAGTTTAAGCTGATTTGATTTGTTATAATCATACCTAAGCTTTAATTTATGCCAAAACCCTACGGCCGAAAGGTGTATTAGTTCTGAGTGAAGTTCACTTGGTGACAGGTTGATTATTTGGGAGGGAAAGGAGCAGAAGATGATGCAATTGGGTGCTTGAAGAAGGCAGCAAGTGCAGGGCACATAGCATCTCAGTACGCTGTTTGCATAATTTTAATATTTTTGGGCGGTGAAAGTAAAGAAACTGGGATTCGGATGTTGAATGAGATGATGTCCAAGGAAAGCAGGGAGGAAGTAAGAAGAGCTCGAGGAAAACTAGGAGACATCATCGGCAAGATATGGCTGCGTAATTTCTCCTTTGCTGAAAAACCTGTTTGTTGCACCAAGCATTCCGGTCGTCGTCGTGTGAACAACGGTTGGGGACCCATTGACAGTGAGGATGAAGACTCGAGTATGGAGTGCAAGTTTTGCAAATGTGACAAAGAAATTTCTCACGTTTTTAAATTTTGTAATTTGGGTTGGAATAAAATTCGTAATTGAAATTTTCTACTAAGTATGTATGTATGAAAAATTATCTTGTTCCAATTTTACATGACCTACAATTTATTCATATGGTCATATCCATTGAGTTACGGATTGGTCATCAAATAAAGTCTGATTTTCTTTAATTTTATTCTTGTTTATTTTATAATTCATATAACACTTTTAAAATAATTTGTATAAAATATAGTTTTTAAATATATTAATTTTATATACTAATATTAAATTAAATATTTAAAAATTTTGAATGATGAATAACATGAGTATATCAAATTTAACTCTAACATTATCATCTCCTTCATTTTCGATTGGGTGACAGAACAAAATTAAAACTTTGAAAAAGGGCGGCATTCTTTGGTAATTCATTCAGGCAATAACATATGCATTAAAGGTGAAACCTGTGAAGACATGGAAATAGGGTAGTACTATTTCCCTGTCAAAATTTGTCCAAACAAATGGCATAAGATTCATCGACATCATTCTTGAATCTTACTCGGGACAACATCCTCATCTTCCCCCTTGGTCGGAAAATTAAAGCATCGTCGTATGTTAATATCTATTCCATTATGAATATAAGTTATTATTTGAGTGTCAGAGTAGGAACAAAAAAAAAAAAAAAACTGTATTTACTGCCCCAATAATCTTATAGTAATCCTTAGCATTACTACAAATCAAACATTATCATCTCCTTCATTTGTACGATGGAATCAAACACAACGAAAACATTGATAGTGGGCGGCATTCTTAGGTAGAAAAACAAATTATGAGAAACAAATAGATAAATTAACTTTTTTTGTTTTTGAAAGGGAATGAGTAACAACTCAAATGCATTAATAATCAAACAAATGGGTAATACAGCGCGGTGTAATAGACCACCACAACCCTAGAACAGACGAAGAACTAGTTGCCCTTGTCAATACATGAGCCGCATAATTCACGGACTGTTTGACATTGACATGGTGAACAGACACGTCCTCAATGTCACTAACAATATCACGATATTGCTTTACAATCAAACCTCTATAGGAAAGGTCTAACAGTCCAAATTAAAACTAGTGCAAAAATAGATAAATTAATTTATTATTGGAATAGGTGTAAGCTAGTTTAGGAAACTAAGTAAAGGTCAGTGAAAGATTTGCAAATTTGGGCGGGTAATGAAGTGAGTTACGAGAGTAATAAATACTATTGTTATTACACCAACGTGATTTTTTATTCTTATTATAACATTACCAATGTTGAGCTATATATATATATATATATATATATATATATATTAGTATTTTATATGCGCAGTGCACAAAAAGTAGGTGCCTAATATTTGTACTATATATTAAAAATTTTATATTTATTTAGATTTTGATTATTTATAACATAATGTATACAAATGTAACGGGAAAATTAAACAGGCATTGCATAAATAAATGATATAACCTTCATTTACACTATTAATTTTTAGATACATGTGCGTGAAGTTTATAGGTAAGAAATAAATAATTAGTAAGTTAATAAATAATGAATATTAAATACTCTTTGATAACTAAGTAAGTATTTTTTTTTTATATAAATTAAGTTATGAATATTCCTTTGATGACCGTTTCATCATAATTTAATATTACCTTTTGGCCTTAAAAGTAAGAAACTAACAAACTTACCAACAATGGAAATCATTAGCTCAGAATTTGAATACATTAGAGCTACCAGGAACTTCAAATAAATTAAAAAATCTGAATATATATGCACCAGGAACTACCAGGAACTTCAAATAAATTAAAAAATCTGAATATATATGCACCAGGAACTTCAAATAAATTAATATTACCTTTTGGCCTTAAAAGTAAGAAACTAACAAACTTACCAACAATGGAAATCATTAGCTCAGAATTTGAATACATTAGAGCTACCAGGAACTTCAAATAAATTAAAAAATCTGAATATATATGCACCGCGCGCCATGACCTAACGGCAACAAACAATTAATTTGGAAGCATTATATTGTTTCCTAAACCAAATTAGAAAATCCAGCTTAGTTTCCTTAATTTGCTTCATATTCCTATTGTTTCGTAATCCTATTCCCAGGTATATTAATATATATAGTGTTTCATATTCCTATTCCCAGGTATATTATCTATATAATTGTCTTCAATATAATATAATTCGTCATGCATATATATATCTTTTCCAGCGCAGTGCTTTTAGCATTCTTGTCTCTAATGGCATTGGCAAACAAAATGTTTGGTGAACAAGGAGGAGAACCGCAGCCGTCAAAACAACAAATAATGTTGTTCCGTCATCTTCTATTCATTCTCTTCCTCACCAATTGGTGGTCGAGATTCTAGCAACGGTCGCTGCCCATTCATGGGATGATCTCCTGAATGCTAGATTAAGGTACACACACATATATATATATATATATATATATATATATATATATATATATATATATATATATATATATATATATTTCAAGTAATTTGAGCTGACCTCTCGTTTTACGTCCGTCCGTACAGCTGTAGGAGATGGAAAGAATTGGGGGGTGAAGAGTTTGTGTATAAACATATATCACTTGCCAATCTCCCCATCGTCCAGTGGAAACCAGAAGTTGAAGAAGACAGAAGAAAAAGATATTTGTTCTTCGACAAGTGTATAGATGCTGGAAATTTAGAAGCACTATATAGGAAAGGACTGGTAAGTATACATACATTACAGTATCTACTTTATTACACACATTATATTATTGTATGTCTGGATGCACCGACTGAATTGGATTGTTGATTTTGCAACAACCTCGATTGACTTTTCAGTTTAATCTAATATGATTTGTTATAATCATACCTAAGCTTTAATTTATGATAAAACCCTATGGCCGAAATGTGTATTAGTTCTGAGTGAAGTTCACTTTGTGACAGGTTGATTATTTGGGAGGGAAAGGAGCAGAAGATGATGCAATTGGGTGCTTGAAGAAGGCCGCAAGTGCAGGGCACATAGCATCTCAGTATGCTGTTTGCATAATTTTAATATTTTTGGGCGGTGAAAGTAAAGAAACTGGAATTCGTATGTTGAGTGAGATTATGTCCAAGGAAAGCAGGGAGGAAGTAAGAACAGCTCGAGGAAAATTAGGAGACATCATCGGCACGATATGGCTGCGTAATTTCTCCTTTGCAGAAAAACCTGTTTGTTGCACCAAGCATTCCGGTCGTCGTCGTGTGAACAACGGTTGGGGACCCATTGACAGTGACGATGAAGACTCGAGTATGGAGTGCAAGTTTTGCAAATGTGACAAAGAAATTTCTCACATTTTTAAATCTCGTAATTTGGGTTGGAATAAAATTCGTAGTTGAAATTTTCTACTTAGATACATACTTGGTGAGTATGTATGTTTGAAAAATTATCTTGTTCCAATTTTACATGACCTACAATTTATTCATACTCATTGAGTTACAGATTGGTTATCGAATAAAGTCTATTTTTATTTAAATTTTATTCTTTGTTTATTTTATAATTCATATAACACTTTTAAAATAATTTGTATTTTATATAGTTTTTAAATATATCAATTTTATATAGTAATTCTAAATTAAATATTTAAAAATTTTGAATGATAGCATGAGTACTACGTCAAATTTTACTAAATGGAATGAGAAGTAAAATATTAAAATAGTGTGTTATTGTTGGTGAAAATTTTAAAAAATGTTTGAAAGATTGAGGTGGCGGAGTGGGTAGAATTGAGTATGATTTTGGTAACTTTTCTCTCAAAATGTTGAGTCTCCAACCCTAAAGGCCCCTTATACTCCGACTCGACAGAGTATTGTGGGAAGTTGTAAAACACGGTAACTCAAGGGTGATTCTTCTTCTTATTCTTACTAATATGCTCTTTATTAAGGTAGTTGTTATGCATCCATGAATAGTGAGTGTGGTGATGACCGTAAATATGTTACCGAAAATATTTGTTTATAAGTGAACAGAGGGAAATTGTGTTACTATAGCTTCGATACAAAGTTTCAAAATGACCCCTACTTGTTACATGGATTCATTTTTTATATTGTACAATGGTAACGGTTATAATAATGGGAGATAATGGCCTCCTAATAAGTGCAACAGCTCCCCTCCCTAAGTGTCCAAGGCTCCTCAGTAATTGTTGCGCATTCTTCTCTGTAATTGCTCTTTGATGAGACAGTAGTGCATTGGACTCTAAGAACAATTCCACCTACTCCTGCTTCACTCTTGATCGTTACCAACTGACTCTGTTGATGATCTTGACTATTTCGACTATGTCCAAATATGCTCCAGGTTGGTCCAATGATTAATCCAATTATCCCATGGGTTTTCCTGATCAAGAATTAAAAATTATATATATATATATATATATATATATATATATATATATGCACACAATGGATGGCGAGATGGAGGTGGTTAGAAGGTAAAAGAATGGTGTCCAAACATTTATATGGATTTATCCTTTTACATGACTTACAATTTATTCATATTCATTGGGTTATTGATTGATGATGAAACGAAGTGTACTCTTCTTTCTTTTTGTATTTTATACTCCATTGTTGATTCCCAATCATACGGTAGTGTGTAAGTCGGTACTGGATTTACCCGTCGAGTGGAGCCATACCCAAACATGATCCTTGTCATAACTTTTATTCTAACTAAATGTTTGAGACTCCAACTCACAACTTAATATAGGAGTCCAATTATAGTGTCATTTACAAAGTCTTGGCTACTAATATACTCTTGATTAAGCTAGTTGCATGTTACCAATGACTTTGTGGTTCGGTGGTACAAGGTGACTTTCTTAAATGAAGATCATTGTTTGTCCTAGTGGAGCGGTATCTTTTTATACTTCAGTAGGTTTAGAAAGTAGTTATAAACAAATATTATATATATTGCATTAATACTAAATAAAAATGTGGATTTTCCTGGTCAAGAAAAAAAATAATAAAAATACTATGGATGGCGAGATGGAGGTGGTTAGAAGGCAAAAGAATGGTGTCCAAACATTTATATGGATTTATCCTGGGAATATAATTTTGTGGCTGTCATTAATTTTCTACACAGATGATAGAACTGCATGGCTCTTAGACTCATCCAGCTTCTTGCAATCTTCTTCTTCTTCTTCTTCTTCTTCAATAAGCTAGCTAGCTAGGTAGCCAATAATAGCCAGTAGCCATGAATGACACAGTAGACAAGCTCGTCATCTTCCTGGCGAAGAGAGACGGCATTGACAAGCTAGTAAAAACCTTCCAATACGTCTCCAAGCTGGTCAACTGGCGGATAGAGAAATCGCACCCGGAATTGGCTCACCGGGCGAAGCTGTGGGAGGTCGCCTCCGGGCTCAGCCGGAAGGCCTTCCGTTCCGGCCGCTTCCTCACCGGCTTCAACGCCCTCCGCCGCAGCCCCGGCCCCACCCCCGCCTTCCGCCTGCTAGCCCTTCTCGCCAACTCCGGCGAGATGGTCTACTTCTTCTTCGACCATATTCTCTGGCTGTCCCGCATCGGAGTTGTGGACCCCAAGCTGGCTCGCCGGATGAGCTTCGTGTCGGCATTCGGGGAGTCCGTCGGGTACGTCTTCTTCGTCATCTCCGATTTCATTCTCATATCGCGCGGGATACAAGCGGAGAGAAAACTGCGCCATTCAAAAGTTGCAGAGGAGGATGAAAACGAAGAACAAATCAAGAAGATTAGAGCGGATAGAGTGATGAGATTGATGGCGGTGGCGGCTAATATCGCCGACCTTATTATAGCATTGGCTGATATTGAACCAAACCCCTTCTGCTGCCATACCGTCACGCTAGGCATCAGTGGTTTGGTTTCTGCATGGGCTGGTTGGTATAGGAATTGGCCCTCATGAACATTTATATATATATATATATATATATATATATATATATATATATATATATATATTTCCTTAATTACATCAAAAACTTATACCCGGATGTCATATAATGTAATCAATTTCTGTTTTAGTTTTCTGCGTTTAGAGTTTTTTCTTGTTGATTGCATGGGGATGTCTTGATGAATTCATTTGAATGCGCGCCGGCGAATATGCATTATATTGCACCATTTGTAGATTCTTTACATATATATTCTAGGTAAATATTTAATGATGTCAAATAATCGGGGACTATGTATGATCTATTTATATTATTAACTTAAATTTGTATGTGATTGAAGTATAACTATTTGTAAATTAAAACATGGAAAAATCGCACGTTTAGTCCCTCAATTGTTATCCAATATGCAATGTGGTTCATCATTGTCAATTCCATTCAATTGGGTCCCTCAAATCATTAAATCGTAGTCAATTTAGTCCTCCGGTCAGATTTCTCTCAAACCAGGGTTAAATCCATTGACAAAAGGGTAATTTTGCAATAATCTTCTTTACCCATTTCTCCTCAATTTGTGTGTCTCCCAAAGTCATCCACACCACCGTTAGTGACTTCATGAACATGGTGCAGCACCTCACCGGGCCTTCTTCTATGTGCGGCGAGTCCTCCGCCGTAGCTGGCGAATCCGGCGCGATGTCTCCGTTGGCGAGGCTGGCGTCAATAGAGAAAACAAGTCCGTCGGAGATGGAGCGAGATCCTCAACAACCCCTTCTTCATCAGCATCGTTTCGAACCCAAATCCGCACCCGTTGACCATCTTGTCGTAGAAGTCGCCGCCGCCTTCGTCTTCTCCGACGCTCTGCTTCTCAAATTTGAAAGTGAACAGAGCGTACCCATCCTCCTCCTCGTCAAATAGCCAGCTGTGGACGTCCCAAGAAACCTGAATGGGAAACCCTCCTCTTCTATTCTCTCATTGCCTCTGAATTTCCAATCGGGAAACCCTCAACTTTGTTACCCCCATTCTCCTCCCACACCATTTACCCCCAAATTCAGAACCTAAGGTTACCAAATCGCAGATGAAAGCTAGGGCTGAAATGAATTTGGGGGTAAATTGTCGACGGCGACCGCTTCCGCCCACGCCATTTTTGCCGTGTATTTCACGGCGTCCAAGCACAGCAAAATCGACATGCATCATGTACAACAACGCGGGCATTGTGTGCCGGAATCCAGCCAGCATCGTCGACCTGGACATGGCGGCGTTCGACCGCGTGATGTCGGTCAACGTCTGTGGTGTGGTGGTCGGCGTCAAGCAAGCAGCTCGCGTGATGATCCTGCACCGCTCCCGGGACCATCCTGTGCACGCCTAGTGTGACGGGGTAATGGGAGGGCTGCAAACATGGGATTAGGGTCAATTGCATTTCGTCAGGGGTGCTGGAATGAGCCCACTGCGAGCCCAGTGATGTCACTAACACTAGGGCTGAAATGAAATTGTGCGTAAGTTGGCGGCGGCGGCGGATTCCACACATTGTGGGAGTAAGGTGAGCTCTTCTTGCTGCTGGGGTAAAGAATACTATTGCAAAATTACCCTTTTGTCCATGGATTTAACTCTAGTTTGAGAGAAATCTGACCGAAGGATCAAATTGACTACGATTTAAAGTTTTGAGGGATCTAATTAATGAAATTGCACAGTAAAGAACCACATTGCAAATCGAGCAACAATTGAGGACCAAAAGTGCAATTTTCCCTTAAAACATATAATATCAAATAACTAAAATCGAATTCAATGTTTGAAACTTCTGTTTATACGGACTATAATTTTTTTGAAATTCTAAGAGGCATATAGGTAACACTAAGTTTATGGTTTCAATGTGACATATCACTTGTTGCTATGACCGCACATTCCGGTGGGACACAATAAATGACATTTTATACACACGCTTGACACATTTTGGTGATTAGATTGGGTCGTTTGGTGTTGTGGGCCAAGTCTAGTAAATAAGAATTAACATATTATTCACTCTACCAAGTGGCTTGTGGTCCACTGATATCGGATTGCTCCCTTATGTGAGAGGTCTAGGTTTTGAACTTCAGTGTAGACGTAGATTGTATGAGTATCTTTTTTCTTTATAATAAAAAATATATATATATTATTCACTCTCAAAAGACGAAGCCACTCATTCTTGTAGAGTGATAAATCATAACAATTCAACTGCTTTTTGATTATTAGATTGGGGCATTTGATGATGAGGGCCAAGTCTAGTAAATAAGAATTAACTGTTGTAAATAATATTAAGTGGACATTATTATAGTGTTTATAACACTTGTAACGGTCGGAGGATTATGACCACACTTATGGTTTCCGTTACAATTGTACATTATATATATGTGCTAATACCTTCTTGTATAGATGGAGTTTTGGATGCAAGATTAATAAAACTTCCTTGTCTCTTATCTTGTCTCTACTTTTCTTCTACTTTTCTTATTTTGTGCCACTTGCAACTGTATTCACCGGTTACCGGTTAGGAGCTAAATGGCCAACGGGCATAATCTCCCACAACACGTTATCAGCACGCTCAAACTTGGTGAACGGTAATTTTATGTTATTCTAATGCACGTTATACTCGTTTAAAGCATATACTATCATTTTTATGATCAGTGGATATATTTCTTGAATTATATGCTTTTTAGACAATTCGTATGGTATGAATGCATGATATACATTTTTCTTTCCCGTATTAATCATAGTTGTATAGATACCACAAAAAAATGGTATTTATATTATCTCATATGCTTTACGATTTTCTCAAAAATATATTTTTTCGGTATTTCTTTTACATATTGCGTATATGTATATGTTTCGTATTAAAAATTTTTTTTGGGAAAACCTTGGATTGGAGTACAAACAAAATCCATAATATGAGAATGGATTTGCTAGTGATCTTCCTTATCATAGATGGTTTTTAAAGATGATTGTCATCTTGTAGTGATCTTCCTTATATTACCTTTAATATTGAGTTCATATAGCTAGCAATGATGTGCCTTGTGCAACCAAATTGTTTCAATGACTATTCTCACATTGAAAACAAAAAAAATTTGACCTTCAATTAAATGCTAAGAAATGTGATTTTGTATCATGGTTTTGGAAAAGGCATTGTTTTGTGGCAATTAGATATTGCATTTGTTTTGATTTGCCATAATAATCTTGATTATGATATGGGAATCATATTTTAGAATTCCTATTGAAATTGCTTATTCAAATTTTATGTGGTAATAATGATGATATTATGATTTTCAGTTACGATACACAAAAAATGTTTATATAACATTATTACTATTAAGTAATATTTTTTTTCAATTGAGAATTTCATGTATCGTAACCTTATCATCATTATTCTTGGATTTTGATATCCATGTTGGTTGAGAATGAATATTTAGATTTATTCTCATATTCATACTTTTAATTCAAGATTATTATTATGCATATAATCGAATTAAGTGCATAGTATTATTGATTTAAATTATCCAATTTGATTATTTCTAGCATATGATGTAACCACACTCATCAAACCACACTGCCAGTACTTGCTTTGTTTAGTGACAGTGCTATTGTTCCTGGTTAATGTGAATATCACTGCTAATGAATCACTTAGTGTTGGTATTGGGGACTAGGGTCACACCTACTTGCGTGACTAATAATGGTGCACGTCAAGCTGCCAGTTCGGCCATAGCGTCTCGTGACTCTTATGTCACAATTAATACTTTAATAATTTAAATACTTTGGTCTAGCCCCATGTTCCAATTCGTGGCAGTGCATGTGCTTTCAATGAACCTGTTAGTGGTTGGCATGTTGTGTTGCTAGGTGTTGGCCCTAGTGTTAATGCTCTTAATGTTTATAAGATTTTTCTTAAATCTTAATGTAATTTTTTTTGCCTAGAAATGAAGCACTTATTATATGATATGATTGTCCCTGAAGGATCGTCTTGATCAAAATTCTAAACATAGCATTGCCCAGAAGGCAACAAGTCATGGCACAAATTAAAAATAACAGTACTAGTGCGGTTTCCCCAATGTAAAATTGGCTTTGTATTGTTTTAAAAGTTAATTGATGGTGCTAATTTGTTATACAAATTATTTTCCATGAGTCTTTGGCATTGAAATAGATCTCAAATCTAAGTATTTAAACGAAATGATAATACCTAATTTTTTTTAATATGGTTTTGCCCAGAAGGTAAACCAAAAGCACTAATTTATCTGTCACTCGTTATCTTGCCCGTCAGTTATGATTGTCACATTGTACTCCAGTAGTAGTACATGACAAAATTATGCTAAGTGTTTGGTCATTGGGCTATTTTTTAATAAGGTCTGGAAGACCCTGAATGTGGATTGATCTTTAAGGTGACTAATGACTCATGAATGAAGTTTGCAACTTCTATTTCTAATGTTATGCTACTATACTCTCCAAAAGTCAACATTGACTCACATCATGTTGGTTTGCCTGAAGCAAACAAGTTGTGATTTTTTTTAACATAGTAATCACTGCCTAAAAATTCTGACCGGCGCAGTTTGAAAATTAAATTCGTGAAAAATACTTGTTGAACTCCTTTTGGCATAAATTTTTTTCTGGAGAACCTAGACTCGTGATATTTGATGTCTGTGAAAATATTTTGTTAAAAATATGCTTTGGTTATTCCAGAAAAAATTGTAAAGTTTTGGCAGTGTGCTGCCAATTATTTTTCTGCCTGAAGCAATCTTGTAAAAAATTTCAGAAAAATACTTCCACACCTTGGATTGACATGAAAATTTTTATGTACGTTCTAGACTTACTGAACTACATATCTGCCAAATTTTGTGTCAAAATGTGCTACCGTTTTCCCCAAGAAAATTCTGCAATCCAGGTCAAAATTCTGAAAATTTTCTGCCGTTTTCAGCTTGTATATCTTGCTATTTTGTGATGTTTTCATGCTAATATGAAACTATGAAATAAAATGAGAACTTGCTTGGAAAAGTTCTATTTTTGACTCCCCGAAATAGGAATGAATGGGCCCGGCAGCGAACATGTGCTCATTATTCTTCGGCGAACGGTACTTCTCTCTTTTTTCTAATTTATGAATTAAGAAACAATATCTCTTGTCATGTCATGCCTTGTGTGTACCAAACATAATACTCTTTA